CGTCATCATCTTTTTCCTCTTCATCATCGTTGTAATCGTCATTAAAATATATATCATTCTAAATATTTATTTGTTACAATCAATATTTACAGCAGCAACATAATTATAACAATCCACATCTTCATTTGTGCATTCAACATTACCACCATCATCGTATCATCATCGCCAACATTATCATCATCATCTCATCATCATTATCATCTCATTTTCATCATCTTCATCATCATCAGGCAACAAAAACTTATTCCTTCAACTTTTGAATCAATTTTTAATTTCACATTATCGTCTGAACAATCTTCTTAATACCAAGTTTTTGGCGGCAACCACAACAAAGCAAAATTTTTTCTCTTTCTTTTCTCTCTCTCTCTCTCTCTCTCTCTCTTTCTTTATTTCTCTCTCTCTTTTTCTTTTTCTCTCTTTTTTTCTCTCTTTTTCATTTTTCTTTCTCTCTCTTTTCTCTGTTTCTCTGTTTCTTTTTCTATATAGTCCCCCTTTACTTTCTCACATTTTTTCTTCATTTCTCGTCTCACCATTTTGTGTATCTCCCTTAATTTCTTTATTCGCTTTTTTTCTTTCTTTCTCTTCCTTTTTCTTCAATACTTTTAAAACTATTTGTTTTATAAGCTATTAATAATAATATTAATAATATCAGTTGGTGAATGATACAAATTACCAGCAAACGTTTGGAGAATTAATCAATCAGTTGATAAGTTAATTAATTTCAATTAATTTGGATGATTATTCAATTAAACTTGAGCAAAATTTTCCATCGCTAACAGAAGCAGCAGCAGATATACAGACAGACAGTGGCCGCCAAGTCGTAGCCACATCAGCCACGCCAACATTTTTAGACGATTTCAGTAGCACAACATCCATCAACAACCACAACATCGCCAAGCAGCAGCAGCAACAATCATTATCAACATCTTCAACGTTCAATACTGCAGTTACTACTATTGTAGTAGATACTGCAACCACTATTCCTGCTACTGCTACTGCTACAAACGCTACTATAACAGCCACACCGTCAAGCAGTTGGGATATGTTTTCATTTGGGCTTCTCATATGCTCAATATTTAATGACGGCAAATCCATACTAAGTAGTGGTAGTAGTAACAGTAGCGTTAGTAGCAGTAACAGTATTGGTAGTAATAGTATTGGTGGCGGTAGTAGTAGCAGCGGGAATATTAGCTTCAATAACTACATGAAACAAGTTGCCAAAGTAGGTTATGGTGAATAATACATTAGAAATATTTTACTGGTTTTGTGATGTTTTAAAGTAATTTTTTTTTATATTATGTTTAATGTTTTATAGTATTATTTCTCTTACTACAATATTTTTTAAGAAATTTAAGTTTCTGTGTCTGATGTTCAATTATTGGCATCACTTTGCTTGGATGGTAATTTGTGATAAGAGTAATATCAGTAGCGCTAGATTATATATCAATAGTAGTAGTAGTAGTAGTAGTAGTAGTAGTAGTAGTAGTAGTAGTAGTAGTAGTAGTAGTAGTAGTAATAGTAGAAGTAGTAGTAATAGTAGAAGTAGTAGTAATAGTAGTAGTAGTAGTAGTAGTAGTAGTAGTAGTAGTAGTGTTTTAGTAATAGTAGTAGTTGTTGTTGTTGTTGTAGTCGGAGTGGCAGCAATATTAGCAATAGAAGTACATATAGCAGCTCGTTGATGGTGTGGCTGTTGCAGCATCGTTTCTAGCAGCAGCAGCAGTCTTAGTAATAGCAGTATTTGCTACAGTAGCTTTGCAGGAGACATTTCATGGTTCTTAAGAGACCTGGATGTTCAATCGAGGCGTAATTACTAGCACATCAACTGACGGTCCCCTACATTCTTCCTTGTTATCTCAAAATAAATACTACTACTTTTACTGCTGCTACTACTGCTACTACTGCTACTACTACTGCTGCTGTTGCTGTTGATGCTGCTACTTCCACTGCTGCTACTGCTGTCAATATTGTTATTACGGTTACTTCTGCTGCTAACAAAAGAATGAATGTTATAACATAAAAAATTGTAATAATAGTATTTAAAGTAGTAATTGTTCAAACATAAGTACTTTTTTTTAACTATTTTTAGTACGAGTTCTTAGACAATACTTATGATGAAAGATTTATCATCATTAGTAAAACCAAATAAAACAATGTATGCATGCGTGTATGCATGTTCATGTTTATACGGTTGCACAGGTGGTTTTTTGTATGTGTATATAAATATGTGTGTTTGTGTCTGTGTGTTTGTGTGTGTGTCTATGATTGTGTGTGGTGTTGATTTGTGTTTGAACGTGCGTGCGATACAGAAAGAGACAGTCATAAAATGTAATTTATTGCTTGATATTCCTTCATCAAGTCATGCATACTGCTTCAAACCACCGTTCGTTCGTTCGTTCGTTCGTTTATTTGTTTGTTTGATCGGTTTGTTCGTTCGTTCGTTCGTTCGTTTATTTGTTCGTTTGATCGGTTTGTTTGTTTGTTCGTTTGTTTGTTATTTACCTACAAAGTTAATTTTTTATGGCTCTAGCCTTTCTTTCATTTAATTTAATTTTATTATTCACTCGATTTTATTAACAGTCTTGTTCTGTTTAATTGTATTATTTTGAATTAATTCATAATGACAATAATTGTAATAAATAAATAAAAAAATATGGAAAATGAGAAAAAAAATCTACAATTCAGCTCCGGCGAAAATAATTTTAAGAATTTAATTTTTAAACATTTTATTTCGCGAAAGAAAAACATTTCTTTTAATGTTTCAGTATCGATCCAAACGTTCATCAAGTTATTTTTTATTTATTATTATTCTTATTGTTTTCTTTTTTTTTCTTCCTTTTTTACAAAATTAAAAATCGCATTTAGATTATTTATGACGTAATTTATCATTTTTTTCATTGGAAAATAAAATTTTTGTGTTGAAATATTTTCTAATCTTTCATTAAAAAACAAAATTTAAAAAAAGATTAAGAAATGTTTTAAGAAAATAGTTTTTTATTGCTATTCATCATTTGTTTGTTCCTTGAAATTTGAAGCTTTTCAGTCTATCGATCAAGAAACAAAACAAGAAACTTTTTTCTAAAAGAGATATATATTCATCCTTTCATTTGTTCTTTCATTCATTCATTCACTCATGCATTTGTTTGTTCGTTTGTTTGTTCGTTCACTCATTCATTCATTCATTCATACGTTCATTTTCTCAATCATTTGTTTATTTGAACATCCATTCATTTGCTTATAATTTAACAAATTCATCCATTAACCCATGCATTAATAATTCATCCATCCCTCAATCCATTCACCAACTCTAGCTTCCGGATTTGTTTAGTGACGTAAGCAAGCGCATGCCATCTTCGATTGTCGAACCGGTTGAAAAATTGTTGGACAGGGAACCGACATACCGACCAACGGCTCAACTCTTTATGCTGGTAACCGGTATTGTTGTTGTTATTATTATTATTATTATTATTATTATTAATTATCACTCGCTATCATCATCAGTTGAAGTGTTTCGATGATCCGATAGTTCAATGTTTGAGGAGGTTAGATTCGATTCTTCAGAAAGACACAATGCAAAAAATCGACTTTTTTAACCGACTCAATCAGGTCATTCCTAAAATTCCGCCGGTACGTTCAAGGGAGTACGTGTGATGATAATGACAATGGTGATTGCATTGATGACGTCAGGATGATGTCATGATGACGTCATGATGACTACGACGACGACGATGATGATGGTGAAAATGACGAACTGGACAATTAAACTATTGCAATGATAAATTTCAACCCCTAATGACGGTGATGATAAAGAATGAGAATGAAGATTATAACAAAATAATGGTGATGATGATGTCAATAATAATGAGGGGCTGATGATGATGACGACGATGATGTGGATGGTGGTGGCAATGATATCAATATAAAGTTTTTTCTGACAGAATTAAGATGTAATTCTCATAGTCCGCCTAGTTTGTTGATAATAAACCATTTTTACTGACGTCACCGATAACTTGACATCATCATCATCATCGTCATCATCATCATCATCGTCATCGTCATCGTCCTCCTCGTTCTGTTATCATCATCATCATCATCATCGTCATCGTCATCGTCCTCCTCGTTCTGTTATCATCATCATCATCATCATTATGTTATCACCGTGGTAATCATCATCTTTTTTCGTTTCTAGCACCATTCTCTTGTTTATTATCATACTCCGTCATCACCATCATTATGAAGATAATTAACAATAATAATAATTATAACAATAATAACAGTAATAATAATAATAATAATTAAAAAAATTATTATTAATAATAATAAAAATGAAATTTGGTAAAATAATGACAATAAACGTTTCAGGCCATGCAATATACCTACTTGATTCCATTTTTCGACGACATGCTGCAGCAGCGAGAACAGCAGCTTCATCAGACGCAGCAGCAGCAGCAACAGCAGCTGCCACAACAGCAGCAGCCGGACAATTTAACCCTGTTGCTGCCCTCGCTGTTATGCTTGATACAGCTGTCCTCGTTGGAAGATTATAGGTTAAAGGTCAAACCCCTCGTGTCAAATATTCTCAATATGCAAAAGTCAACCGAGGTTTAATTACGGAATTTTTTCAAATGCTTATTAATAAAATTAGTTGTATTCATTTATAATAATTAGTTATTTTGTTAATTAATAAAATAACTATTCAATTAAATAATTAATTGGTTAATTAATTGATAACTCTTCACCCAATCACCACCGCCACAGATAACAATCTACATCTTGGAACGTTTGGAAATTATCCTATCAAAATCAAACGATAGCGACATACAGACAGACGTTCTGCCGATGGTGTTCCATACTTTGGAGACCAACTCAGTCCCCGGGCACGAGGCGGCTATATCTATTTTTGATACTATCCGGAGATACATCGATGACAGCACTATCAAAAACTTGATACTCCCTAGAACGAAGACATTGTTCCTTATGTCTAATAACGTTTTGGTTGGTTATGTTTTTGTTTTTGTGTAGTAGTTATATAAATTATATGTATGTTTGTATGTTTGTCTTGTATGTGTGTGTATGTACATTTAGAAGATGATAATAATGTTCTTGTGGTTGTGCGCGTGAGTGTGTGTGTGGGTGTGTTTAATATTCGTTTGATGTCTTTTTTGTTTTTTTTTGTGTGTGGCTTTTTCAATTGTTACGATTTCATTACGAACATGTCCATGTAACAATTTCAATTCAGCAATCATAAATCATTAACATCCTTATTTAAATTACAGTTAGCGTGGCCTTTATGATGTTTTCATTATTTGTAGTTTTTGTCGTCGTTTTCGTCGTCATCATCATCATCGTCGTCGTCGTCATCATTATCTCATACGTCATCATCATCATCATCATCATCATCATCAGACAAAACTAAACGCCCTGGCCTGCTTAGATCGTTTGATTGACAGCTTCGACAAGATGACCGTTTTAGAAGAGGTCCTGCCTTTTCTGACGGAAATCACGTGCTCAGATGTTGACATCACCATGGCGATAATAGGTTGCAGCGATGATTGATTGAGTTGTTGACTTTTGTAAAAATGAAGGTGGTGCAGAAATTGACGGTGCCATTTACGGTGCTGGTGAGAATGACGATCAAAATAAAATAGCGAAATGTAAACTTGGATCAAATAATTAATTATTATCATCATCTTCATCAGCAATATACAGACATCTATTGAGTGACCGGAAGTACGGACTGACCCACAACATCCTGGCCACCAAGGTCATACCCTCTCTCATACCCTACGCGGTCGCACCTGGGCTGACCATTGCACAGGTAGGCTATAATGATGATGATGAGGAGGACGATGATGATGAGGAGGAAAATGATGATGTTGGTGATGATATGGAAGATGCTAATAATTGTGATAATGATGACGACAATGATAACGATGATGACGACGATGGTGGTGATAATGATGATTTCGTTCGCCCCAAAAAAGTTCACCCAGTTGATCGAACTGTTGAGAGAGATGTTGGGACAAGTTGATCAGCAGAGGAGGTTGAAAATGATGGGAGAAGCTCCCAACATCTTGGCTCTTGAAGGAAGGTCAGGAAGATGGCCATGATGACGACGTAGATGAAGATGACAAAATGATAATTCTAACGACACAAACACACACACAGACACACCCACACACACCCACACATGATAATTTGGATAATGAAACATACACGCACACACACAAACATCTAACAGATCAAATCTTCAGCAGATGCACGTGCAGCAACAGCAGCAGCAGCAACAAACTCCACCAACGCCTAACATCCGACTACCCGACGATAACCAATCATGTGCTTCGGGTTCAAGGTCACGAAGGGTCAGCTGCACTAGCTCCATCTCTAACTCCAGTAATTTTTCTGGCTATTTTGGAAAGTTAGTTTCACTTTCGCTTTCATTTTGCATTTTTTCGCAATTATTACAGTCTTATTAAATAAAAATTTAAAAAAATATACTCAGTTGACGCAAAAAAATTATTTTTCTTTTTTTCTCTTCTTTTTTTCATGTTTATTATTATTATTATTTATAATTATTATTTCTTTTATTATTTATGAAAATTATTCAGACGTTTGTCTCAGGACTTTCGATTCAACATGTACGAGCCTAACTCGCCCTTGAATAAATACTTGCTAACAGTTGATAGGAGTTAGTAAAATTATAACTATAATTAACTATAATTAATAATAACAATGATAATAATTATAATTATAATGATAATATAATGGTAACAGTTGTAGTAATGGTATCAGGCTGGTATAACCTTATTAATACTGTTTGCTGATGATGATGTGTGATGTTACATAGATATGAAGTGAAATTTTTTCAATTTTTAATTTGTTCGTTCATTCGCATTTACTTGTTCGCATGTTTGTCCGTTCGTTCCGCCAACCGTTCGCCCATTTCTACATTCATTCGATCATTCATTCATTCATTCATTCATTATTCATTCATTCATTCATTCATTCACTCACTCACTCACTCACTCACTCACTCATTCATTCATTCATTCATTCATTCATTCATTCATTCATTCACTCATTCGTGCATCTCCTATTTGGACAGGAAATTCCATTAATAGATACGGGTGCAGGCAAGGTGAGATGAAATTTTTATTTTCAAATTAATTTCATTTGTTGAATGATATTTTCTAAAAAGTATACATTTTTTCCTACGCTAATTAATATAGTATTCATTTATTCGTTCGTTCGTTTGTTTGTTAGTTCTTTCATTCATACATTCATTCACTTATCAATTCATGGAATCATTCACCCATTCATTCACCCATTTATTCACCTATTCATTTACAAGCTCCCAGCAATCCGGAACTGCAAGCAAGGACATCGTCAAAAGACTCGCTACTGAGCAACCAGGCCTACAGGAAGTGCTCCAGCTTTACTGGCTTGGGATCGGTGAGTGAAGGAATGAGATGTGGAAATGGAATTTGAAAATTGGTTATTCACTGTCAAAAAAATTAGATAAAATTTCGAATAAATTTGCTTTTGTTTAAATATTATTTTGAGAAATATAGCATGTACGTCACAAAGCAAACACATCAACAACAAAAGCAAAAACGATAACACTGACGATAACACCACAACACCACTAACAACACCACTACCACCACCGACAACAACAACACACAGGAAGAGAAGACAGTCCTAGAGAGAATAGTACGTGACAGAAGAGCCAGCATGGCGCCCAGGGGTTCCATCTCAACGGGTGCGGGCGCACCGCACATCCACGTGTCCGAGGCATCTTTGGGTGTGGGGGGGTCCGAGAATAATTTCGGTGGCTGGTCGTGGTTCGGTTCGAACAGGAGGTGCAGTACGCAAAGTGTCGGCCCCGTCGTGCAGCCGGTGAGTCGACGTTCTTGTCGTTTGTTGGTGGCTATTATTGTATTAGTCTTTTGTTGAGTTTGCTGTTCGTGTAGCTGGATGTCGAAGTGGTTGTGTTTGAGGTTGGCTTCGTTTTGTTAGCGTTTTTTTAAACAGATTTCATTTTATTGCTTCTATTAAAAATGAAATTGGAAACCGGCAAATGAAAATTCAAGTCATCAATTCATCATCCAAACTATCAAATTTGTGACAAAATGTCAAACTCATTAAACAAATTAACGACCTTCAACCTCAATTTTCAAATAAATAACTTTGACTACTTCATTAAATAAACTAATGACCTCTATGACCTTTGACCCACTCAGGAACCCGGACGTCGAAGTAGCCAGGGTAAAATTCTGGACAGCATCCAAAACGAGCTGAGAAGGGCAAGTTTCCAAGGGATTTGCGAATCAGCTGTTAGTGGTAATGATGATGTTGATGATGATGATGATGTTGATGACGATGATGATGATAGAGACATTATGATGATGACGGTTGTGATGATGACGATGATGACGTCATCAATGGTGATAACGATGACGTTTAATTTAACCTAACCAAGGTTCAATTCTTCTCTGGTAAATGAAGAAAGCCATGACGTCATCTGATTAATAATAATAACTATTATTATTAGTACTACTATTATTATTACTATATAAAACAAAATAATTAATTTCATTAATTAAATTTAATTGATTTGAATATATTTTATATTAAATGCTGAATTATTCAAGGAATATGGCAATAAAATAATACATATTAAACACCATATCGTATCCAACATCCATGATTATATGGTTCGCTTGATTATACATACACACCAAACATACATATATATATATATATACATGTATACATACATACATACATACACACATAGACACACACATACACACACGCATACTCACACACATACATACAAACACACGCATACAAACATTTTTGTGAGTATTGTCGTCGTGGTCAGTGTCTTCGTAGTTCAATTCATTAATTATTTTATTTAATTAATTTCCATAATTTAATTTCTCATAATTTAATTTTGTATATATAATAATAATTGCTACATTTAAAATATTAATAATTATTATTATTATTGTTAATTTTGTTGTTGTTGTTGTCATTGTTGTTGTTGTTTGTGCTAAGTTCAGTGATCGTCTGTTATTATAAATAATTAAATACTACCAAATTTTATTACATATATTTTAATTGCATTCTTTTTTCTCATTCTCTCTTTTTTCCTTTATCTCTCTCTCTCTTTCACTTTCTCTCTCTTTCTCTCTCTCTCTCTCTCTCTCTCTCTCTCTCTCTCTATATATATATATATATATATATATATATATATATATATAGATATATCGAAAAATCGAATAAGCCTATATTCTTATTTTGGTAAAACAAATAAAATGGCATTTTTATTATTACTTATTACCAGTTTTATTTTCGAAAGAACGTTAAAAGCAAAAGAAAATATTCAGAAAAATATTTCGGTTAATATCACTTTTGCCGCTGCTGTTGATGCTGCTGCTACTACTAGTTGTACAAATCGGGATTAATATTTCTACTTATTCAGTAATGTGAATTTTATTAGTAGTTATGGTAGTAGTGTTACTAGAATAGGTAGTAATAGCAGTAGTAGTAGTCGTAGTTGTAGCAGAAGCAGCTGTAGTAACAGCAGTAGAAGTTGTAGTAACTTCTTCAGTATAATCTGGCATAACTATCTTATCTACATTCATGACATCATCATCATCATTTTCGAACTCGTGATCGTTATCAAAACTTCTGTCAGTATCATTCACATTAGTATCGGCAAGTTTACTACTCTGGCTAACGCCAAGTGTACTACTACCCCCACCACCACTACTACCACTATCACCACTACTACTACTACTATTACTACTACTACAGACGTAACTACCACTATTGCAGCTTTTGTCGACAACTACATAACCACTGCCACAAAAACTACTACATGCATAACTGTCGTTGTTGTCGCACCTGTCGACGATCATGTAGTTTGTGTGGCTGCTACTGCCGATTAAACTACTGCTATTTCCGTTACCACCACTACCATCACAGCCAATTTCAACGTTGTTGTTGATGTTGCCGTTGTTTGTGACGTACTCCACGTTTGCGATGACGTCACAAGATGGCGGGGGGCTTGGCGGCAAGGGGGTTATAGGGGGTAATGATGGCGGTTTTATGGTTAGAAATATCGGGGGTTGAATACGTTGATGGGCCGATTGCTGTTGTAGCTGGTGCTGCTGCTGATACTGCTGTTGCTGTTGCAGTTGTTGGCGGTGATGATGAGGATGAAGATGGTGCTGTAGATGGAAGTTGTTGTTGTGGAACGTTTGCAGAGTATTTTGATGGTTGTGATTGTTTAAGTTGCTTGATGTGGACGACTGTGTACGTTCATGTTGTTGTTGTTGTTGTTGTTGTTGTTGTAATTGTAGTAGTTGTTGTAACTGATATTGTTGCTGTTGTTGTTGATGCTGTTGATGAATGTGTAATTGATGCAACTGATGTTGATATAATGTATTTTGATGTCTTTTATGTTGTTGTTGTTGCTGCTGTGATTTTTGTTGCAACTGTGTGTGTTGTTTTCGTTGCTGATGTTGTTGCCTCAATTGCTGGTGTTGCTGAATGATGTATGCTTCATTTGATGACGTCATTATGACGGAGTTGGCGTGGAGGTGTTGTGCCATTCTGGTGGTTTTGTTGATGTTGTTGTTTTTGTAGCGGTCATTGTTAATAATGTTGCCGACGCTGATGTTGTTGTTGACGATGTTATTTTTGTTGATATCGCTATTAAAAATGTTGTTGTTTTTCACGAAAAACGAAAAGTCTTCAGGTAGGTTGTTATTGCAAATATATTGTTGATGGTTTACGTTTCGTTGATTCTCAATGAAGCACTGGAGTTTGGATACATCAACGTCAAAGCATTTAATGTCATTGCTGTTGCTGTTGTTGATGTAGTTGTTGATGTTGTTGTTGATGTAGTTGTTGTTCGTTTTCCAGATGTTTGCGTTGATGTTTTGGGCCGTTTTGTTGTTGTTGTTGGTATTATTGTCGTTGGTAAAATTAACGTTATTGTTGATGTTATTGTTGACGTTGTTGTTGATGATGTTGTTGTTGTTGTTGATGTTGTTGTTGATGTTGTTATAGTTAGTGTTACAGCTAGTGATGTTTTTAATGACGTTTTTATTTTTGTAAACTGGGCCACCTAGCGCGCAGAACACCTCGACGAGATGCTTACATTCATTCAGATAATTGGCTCTGTAGGTCTGATCGTGTTCGAGTAGGTGGGTGGATGTCTCGAGGTATGATTTTATATTTGTTATGGCTTCCTTTTCATCCAAACTGTTGTTGTTGTTGCTGTTGTTGTTAATGTCGTTGATGTTGTTGTTGTTTTTGGTGTTGTTGATGTTGTTGCTGATTTTGTTGTTGTCATCGTTGTTGTTTTGAATTTTAGATTTGTTGATGATTGACTGATTACTATAATACGAGTTCGGATCGTCGGTTATGATACCGAGTATTATCGATATATCGTCAAGATTCGGTGCCTCTTTCAGTTCATTTCTGGCTGTCTGATATGCAGTTTGACTGCAGTCGTTGTTGTAGTTGTTAATAGCAATATTGCTGTTGTCAACCATGATGTTGTTGATGTTTTTTTTGTTGATGTTGTCGCGATTGATGTCATTGTCATTCAGATGGACGAAACTTACGATGCTGTTAACATTACTTTTGCCTTCTGCGTCGTTGTTAATGTAATTGCTAGAAACATTAACATCTGTAGTGACGTTGGTCTTCTTAAGACTATTTAATATATTATTGTCGGGATTTTCGTTAATTTTGTTGTTGTTGTTGTAGTTGGTGTTGCTGTTGTTTTTTTTGTTGATGTTCTTGATGTCATTAAGACAATGACAGTTAATGAGTCTGTCGGATTTCAAGCTATCAATCAATTGATTTAAATGGCTTAACACTCTGCTAGCACCATCTGTGCCAACTTTCCGAAGGTGTTTCTTGTCGTCTGAATTGTTGTTGTTGAATATGTTGGGATTATTAATGTCGTTGTCGTTGTTGCTGTTGTTGTTGTTGCCGCTGCTGATATCACGACTATTAAAGTTGTTGCTGTCAAAATTGTTATTGGTGGTAGTGTTGAAGTCGATACAGTTGTCACATTGAGCTTTATTGAAATAATCTTGATGTAGTTGCTGCAATAACTGTAGTTGTTGCGTTTGTTGTTGTGGTAGTTGTTGTAGTTGCTGCAGTTGCTGCTGCTGCTCTCTGACGTCATCACAACATAACTTCCATTGACTGTTAAACTCTTCAGTAATCGCAGATTTCATCCTGGCGTAACAATCAGCACAGGAAACTTTGTTTCTCGTCATTTTCATGATGTGGTGCTTAATTTTTTCCTGCGAATCTAACAAAGTTTTTGTGCTGAGGGTGCTTTTGTTTGAAGCTGTTTTTGACTTCTTGGTGTCTTTTGTATATCCGTAAACTGTGCAACTGTTGTTGTGTGCCTTGTTTTTGTAGTTGTTGTTGTTATTATTAATAGTTGTTGTTTTGTTGTTGGTGATGTTTGTTGTAGTTGTGTCAGAGAAAATATGGGATTTCTGTTGGATGCGTTGTCGCTTAGCCTGGCGAGGTTGTTGCTGCAACTGTTGCTGCAACTGGTGCTGCAACTGGTGCTGCAACTGTTGCTGCAACTGGTGCAGTTGTTGAGGTTTTTGTTGGTGTTTTTTGGGTAAAAGTGGAATTTTTTTGACCCTACTCAAGTAATCAGCTTTGTCTCTCTTCTTCAATTTCTTCCATCTTCTTTCTAGAGCCTGCTTAGCCGCCTCTGAGGCAACGCGTGGATTGCGTCGCCTGAAATCGCCCAAGTGTTCGCTGTTGTGGATGTTTTTGTAGTTGTGGTTGTTGTGGTTTTTGTAGTTGCGGCTGTTGTTGAAGTTGTGGCTACGGTGGTTACCGTGCGATTGATTTTAATCATATTTCAGATGATTGAGTGCTTTGTTGAAAAACTGATTAACTGATTGATTGCTCGATGATTCAGCGGTTGAATGAGTGACCAAGTGATTGATTGAATAAAGGATTGTATAATGATTTCAATAGAAAGATTGAAATATTACTTTGTTTAAAAAGTTAAAAATGAAATAATTTCCCTACCTTATCCACAACAAAGCGGCATAATAATCATCGTCCTTGCCACCATTATCATCATAATCATCTCCACGTTGATCCTTATCATCACCGTTATCATTATTTCGATCGTCATTGTCGTCGTCGTTGTGGTCGTAACCACCACGGCTGCCAATTAGCGGGCCGACCTCTGAGTTGTTTCTTTCCTTTTTGGATCTGCTGCTGCTGCTGTTGGGACGGAAAAAAAATGCTGGTAGTGTAATTGTTTGCTGTGTTTGTTAGTGGTGATGCTGAGTTTTTGATTACAACAACAAATACAACAATAACATTAACAACAACAACGTCAACAACAATAACATCAAAAACAAACCGCCACAACAACAATAACATACGTTGTGAGTTTTCAGTCATCAATAATTTGTCAAACAACCCGTCGTTTGCTCTTGTTCATTCATTTATATATTCATTTATTTGTCTTATCATTTTTCAATCAATCGATCCATCAATCAATCAATCAACCTTAATTTGTTCTCTCTGTCAACACTGTCATCTTTTTTAGCAGCATCAGCTTCCTTACTTAATTTTCTTTTGCAACTATGTTTCAACTTGTTCAGAGGCTTTTTCTCGGAGGAACTGCATCTGTCTTCACCATCAAAATTAGTTCCCATTAACAACATCACCAAGACCATCATCACTAACTCCATCATCGTCAACATCCCATTCAACATCATCAGCGTCATCATCAACAAATAAATCAACCAACCGGGTGATGAATTTCTAAACTTGTTACCTGAAGATTGTGAAGATGAAGCCGTTGTTGCCGCTGCCGTTGATGCTGATGCAGTCGCCACTAATTTTTTATGTTGATCGCATTTCTCAGTAGGTGATTGGCACTGCTTGTCCATCCCGGCCTTCTGAAAACCGAAAAAAACATGTGTGTGTGTGTGTGTGTGTGTGTGTGTGAGTGCGTATGTGGGGGGGTTAACAATACCTTAAGAGTATTGCCCGCCAAAACCGATAGTAGCTTAAAAATGTATTGCCACTAGCAGCACTATAACTAATTCCTAAAAGCACTATCAATAACAAAACTTTTTACTTTCCAAACAGTGGTACCTATTGTCTCACCCCGACAAAGGCATTCGGTAGTTAATACATAGTATAGAAATGATTGCGCAAAGATTAATTATTTGAGTTACCAGATTTGAAACAAGTTAAAACGAATGCACGGCCTGATTTTGAGGTCAAGACGCTCGGGACTCCAAAAAAAAACCCCTTAATTTTTTTAGAATTGATAAAGTAATTTTTGTCGAATCTTTCGAACTATTGTCCAGGAACGACCGTCACTTGAATGTTTTATTCTCTATCGTTTATATCTATAAAATATCATTTAAAATTTATTTAATTTATCACTGATTAGTATTTAAACAGCTGCTATAATGGACAAAATGTTTGCGAGTGGGTTATACATTATACATACAAGTATGAATGAATACCAAATGAAATAAAAACCCGTTTATTCGTTCATTTCCTTGTAGATAATTTCATAAATATTTACAATAATGAATTTATTAACATCTAACAATTAATTTATTCACTCGTGTTTTCAACGTTTTGAACATGGATCATCATAACGGACTTATTAACGAAAAATACGAAAGACAAAAAAGAAATCTAACTCTCGCTTTTTATTATTTTCTCAAAAATTACTTCTATTATTATTTTAACGATAGTTTATTCAAGATAATGAGTAATAATAATAATAATTATTATTATTATAATTAGTAGTATTGCTATTATTATTATTAATATCACTTGGTTGTCCATTCTAATGGTTTGACGATCAGTAACTAACTCATTAACGTTCAAATTGAAATGCCTATCATATATTCAGCTTAAGATATGTCGCTATAAAACATTTTGCTACTATGGTTCAACAATGACTTTGACTAATAAATAATAGATCAATCATTAATCAGCTGTTTCAGAAATTAATAATCAAATATCCAAATTGATAAATGACTAACTCAGATCATTCGCAATGGCAAAAGCAGAAATCCGTCTTAAGAGCTTCGAGTTTTGATAAATTGTGATAAAATGTTACATGTCCGCCCATTCAGTTTTTTTCTCATTAAATTAACTGTTGTAAAATCAGCATTGTAGTTTCCTTCTTCTTCTTCCAGTTATTTCCCGAATAGTAAAAGCAAGCGGAATCGTTGAACGCATATCTATATAAAGATAATTGTTAACCTTGTTATTGTTTGTATCGTTAGTATACACGTGTATGTATTTCAAGAAAGCGTTTCCTAGCACATGTTCCATACTAAACACGGCGCGGTTTGTATTTTTTGCAAGCACCCTTTATTAAGCACCCTCCTATTTGCCTACCCTAAACAACACTTACCTTTGTCCCACTTGCCCTGGTGAGCGGGCTTTCAAACTTAACGATGCTAACCTGGTATTTTTGTTTGGCAATATTTTTGGCAGATATATTTATTGTACATTATTGCAACATGGCACCGTGGTGTTATCTATCTATCTATCTATCTATCTATCTATCTATCTATCTATCTATCTATCTATCTATCTATCTATCTTTCTATCTATCTATCTATCTATCTATCTATCTATCTATCTAACTAACTAACTATAAAAAACGCGATTTTCAAATGTATCAATTCATTTTCATATTGTTTTATTAGCAAATTCAACAAACTTTGTATAAGGAAAGATATTCATTCTTATATATCATCATCATCTTCGGAAGATTTTTGTTAGCTATAACGCGTATATGATAAAAACAGTTTAATGAATCAATCAAGAAAAAAAAATGATAAGAGTAACCATAATAATAATAATAATAGCATCTTATTATGATAACGATAATTATATATTTGTTTATTTATTTAGTTATGTATTTGCTGGCGAAAAAACACAGTAACCATACATACAAATTAATATAATTGTGTGTACACGTATGTATGCAATGCATGTATTTAAGTTTGTATGTTTGTATGTGTGTGTGTCTATGTGTATAAATAAGTATGTGTATACTAAGATACATTGTATTGGTGAATGTATGTGTGATAAGATAATACAATGTATTAATTCAACAGATATACATACATTATGGACAAGCGCAACTCCTAAATGATAAAAACAATAGGAGGTATGTATGAAAATTTACACCGAATGTAATTTAGTCAGTTTGTTTGTATGAGTGTGTATATTATGCGTGTGTGTGTATATGTATACATGTATGATGTATGAATGTGTGTGTGAGTATGCATGTGTTTGTATGTGTGCGCGCGTATGTATATACGTATATATTTCATATTTGACATAACAATACTAAAAAAATGAACAACCAATCAGTAAGCTAACCAGCCGATGTGTCTGATCGATCATTCAATTTTATTCATTCTGCTTGCTTTACCAATGTAATTAATTTAACTAATCAACCTCTTTAATGGATAATAATAATTATTATTATTATTACAATTAATAACAAATATTATTACTATTGTCTCTAGTTTCACAAGGGGTTTAATTAATACATACATGAATGAAAATATTAATAAATTGAGTGAAAGAATTAAAAAAATCATATATATATATATATATATATATATATATATATATATATATATATATATATATATATATATTAGTAAGAGAGAGAAAGAGAAAGAGAGAGAAAGAAAGAAAGAGAGAGAGAAAGAGAGAAATATGAGATTGTGAATGATATATTTTTGCCAAACTTATTGTTTCATGCAATTAAAACCAACTAATAATAGTAATAATAATAATAACAAAATCAACAACAACAACAACAATAATAACCATAATAATAATAACCATAATAATAATAATAACCATAATAATAATAATAATAATAATAATAATAATAATAAAGAATAATACAACGAACGCAGTAAAAGAATGTAGCATTATGATTAAAATTAGTAATGGCTGTCCAAAATTCTAATGCCAGTACCCCTAGTAATACTACAAATAATAACAATAATAATTATTATTATTTATAATTAATAATTATTTTTATGATAATAATAGTAATAATAATAATAACGACGACGATGATGACGAGAAAATAAAAACTAACAATGATGTTATATTAATCATCATCACCATCATCATCACCATCTATAATTATCACCACGGGAGAATTGATAACAATATCATCATAAAAAAATGTCTCAAAAAATAATAATAATTATTATTATTAATTTTATTATTATCTATTATACAATAATAAAAGAAGTGGTAAGGATAATAAATTAATAATAATTTTCAAGAATTTTCACGTGTCAAATATGTATACGATGGATACAACAGTAGTAGTAGTAGTAGTAGTAGTAGTAGTAGTAGTAGTAGTAGTAGTAGTAGTAGTAGAAGTAGTAGTAGTAGTAGAAGAAGAAGAAGTAGTAGTAGTAGTAGTAGTAGTAGTAGTAGTAGTAGAAGTAGTAGTAGTAGTAGTAGTGGTGGTGGTAGTAGTAGTAGTAATTTTAATTACGATAATAGTAATAATATTAATAATTAAAATAATAACAAAAAAAAGAATTTTTTTTATCAATGACTGTACAATAATGAAAGGATTGGGAAAAAACTCGCATTCAACTATCGATACGCGTTCAAATTTACGTAGCAACAACATCGTCGTCGTCGTCATCATCATCATCGTACTGTTCTCATCATCATCATCATCATCGTCGTCACATCGTAATCATACATCATCGTATCATCATTCATTTTTTTTCATCACCACAGTGTGTTTATCTAAAAGGATAGAACGAATGAACGAACGATGAATGGATGGATGAATGATTGAAGGAAGAGGAAAGCTTCTTATTAATAGCTTAATAAACAATGGATTGAAAGAAAGAAAACAAGAAACGAATGAATGAATGATGATTAAATGAATGATTAAAAGAATAAAAAGATATATATATATATATATATATATATATATATAACTACATATATATATATATAACTACATATATATATGAAAATATCCCATTAAAATGAAACTTTGATATGCGGGGAGAAGAAAGATGATGTAACAATGCCATTTATCATCATCACCATCGCCATTCATCACCACTTCAATCATATTCTGCACCACATTCATCATAATCATCATTATCTTTGTCATCATAGCTATTAATAATATTGTATTTGTTATCATCATCATCGTGGTGATAGTGATGGTTATGTAATTAAAACCAATATAATCATCATCGTCATCATCATCACCGCCACCATCATCATCATCATCTTTGAAACTTTTTATTATTATTTTTAGCGCTCTGGGTATTATTATTATTACTATTACTACTGGCGTTTGATGATCGTTTATTATTATTATCCGAATTATTATTATTATTGTTGTCATTTTTATTAATGTTACTATTTGAACTACTGTTTGACGAGGAAGTGACGGCAGTAGTAGAAGCAGCAGTAGTAGCAGCAGTAGTGTTAGTAGTAGGAGTAGTATTTGTAGCAGTGGAAGTAGCAGTAAAAGCTGCAGCACTAGTTATCGAGATACTATTAATGTAATTGCTAGCTCCGTGTTGATGTTGTTGTTGCTGTAATCTGTTCGATTTAGTGACAGCGATTTTATTTTTGTGGCTCTTAGCAGCTGGCGTCGTTGCGGCTCTGCTTGAGATAACAAGATGTGGCTGTTGCTGCTGATGATGATGCTGGTGATGGTGTTGTTGTTGAGATAAGGGCCTAGGATTGCTGCTGTTATTAGTAGTGTTAGTATTACTAACACTGATGATACTTGCGTCATGAGTAGTAGCTGCAGCAGCAGCAGTAGTACAACTAGCTGTGGCCTGAGCAGTATTAGTAACGTTACTACTACTAGCGACACCAACAACGTTTATAACATCTGCAGATTCCTTATTAGTAGTAGTAGTAGTACTTCTAATAATATTAGTACTTATGGTAGAAGTAATGGTAGCAGCAACAGAAGAAGTAACAGTAGTAGCGACAGTAGTAGCGAGAGTAGTGGCAGCAGAAGCTGCAGTTTCGATAGTTAACCTGGTATTAATAAGATTAGTCAACACATCAACGTTGCTTGCAGCAGCAGTTGTAGAATTTGGAGGTGTAGTAACTTGGACATTAGTAATATCTGGACAAGTGCTAGCAGTATCGTCTACACTTTCTTTGTCACAGATAGAAGTAGCGGTAGTAGCGCCAGAAATAGAAGTAACAGTAAAAGTAGTAGCCGCAGAAGTAGCAGCAGTAACATCACAGTTAGGTGTAGTATTGACATTGATAGCCATTGAAGAAGATAGCGTAGTAAAAGTACTAATAGTATCTGCTGAATCAGAAAGAGAGGCCGTAGCAGTAATAGTATTACTTCTGTTAATAACATTAATACTACTACTACTTCTGCAGGTAATAGCGACAATAGTAGCAGTAGTGATAGTAGAAGTAGTAGCAGCTTCATTTGAAAGTTGATCATGTGGTCTCAACAAGTAATTTTCCGCAAAATCTAAAGTAGTATTTTTTCTCAAAGAAGCAGTCCTTGCAGTAGTACCAGTCGTACTACTAGTAGCAGTAGTAGATGGCGGTTGCTTTGACGCTTTTGTAGCCCTTGTAGCGGCTGTCGATTTAGCAGTGGTTGCTTGTTTAGCAGCTGGTGGCCTGCTTAACAATGATGGGATTGGCGGTGCGAACTTAGAATGTTTTTCTGCGATGTTGCCGCTGCTGCTGTTTTTCGGCGGCAACAACATCAGTGGCACTGTCGACTGCGTCGGATTGAATGATGACAATGATACTGGTGATGAGTGTTGGCGATGTTGTTGAGGATGATGAAGATGTTGTTGTTGTTGTTGGTTATTATTCCTTGACCTACTGCTAATGTTATTGTTGCTGCTGTTGCGGCTGCTGCTGAGTAGATTGAAGGAAGTTGAAGCTTTCGACGACGATTTCGTTTTGTTCTGGCTCCTCGATGATGATGATGACGCCTTGTTGCCGGCTGCTACTGCAGATGTTGATGACGCTGCCGTTGTGTACGATGACGATGATTTTAATTCTTTCGGCCTGGCTCCAATGTTTCGTTCACTTACTGATGTCGTCGTTGAATGTAAGTTGAAAATGTTGAATGATGAAACAGTTGTTGTCGATGACACTAATGTCGTTGCTGCTGTCGTTGCTGCTGTTGTTGTAGTAGATGATGCAGCCACCAATGACGTTTGTGGTGGTTGAGAATTTGATGTTATTGTTGATGTCGTGATGTGTGCAGCCACCCCTGTTGTTGCTGCTGCTGCTGACATTGAAGTTGAGGTGGCGACGCTTGCTGCAGCATCAGTCTGCTTTGTTTGTGGCAGCAGCTGTTGGCCACCTAGCAGCGAAAGTTGCTGTGGAATTGGCAGCTGGGAACTGAGCAGCATGATCTCCTGTTGGAATATAGATCTCAGCAATGACATTCTAGTCGGATTAGAACTTCTCCTTGGTAACATTCCTTCAGCTTGCAACAAAAACTTATTATTATTATTGTTATTATTTTTCTTTTTAGGCACTGAATTATTTTCATCGTTCTTACTACTACTTTTACCGTTCCTATTACTTTTCCCAGCAGCATTGTTCTTGTTCTTTTTCTTGTTGATATCATTTACAAGTTTCTTTATGATTTTCTTCTTAAATACGTTATAAGAATTGGTATCATTGTTATTGCTGTTGCTGTTGTTGTTGTAATTATCACTATAACTGTATGTGGCGTTCCTCGTCTTCCTTCTGATGCTATTGCTAGCAGCACTGCTGGCAGCAGCTATCTTATAGCTATCCAAGTTGTCCAGTATCTCTCCCAGACCAACGTCTACCTCTAGAATGTTCTCATACTCATCTTGGTCCAAAAAAAATCCATCCTCATCGTCGTCGTCGTCGTCATCATCAGGTCCCGCTCCGTCGTCGTCTTCCTCATCGTCATCGTTATCATCCTCTTTAACATTTGAGAACTTGGATTTGTTGCTGTTGGCGTTACCACAGCGAGCACTGGCGGCCGCGTCATCGTCCTCATCATCATCATCCTCCTCCTCATCATCATCATCGCCGTCCTTATTTTCATCATCATTATCACGCTGACCTGAAACGCTGGCCTCTTGAAATACGTTATAATCATCAAAGTAGTAGGCGCGATCGTCGTCGTAGTTTTGATCTTCGTAACCATCACCACCATCTTCATCATCGTCGTCGTCATCATCATCATCATCGTCGTCGTCTTTATCACCGGGTTTATCATCTTTTTTCTTCTTACTGCTCTTTTTATTGCCATCATCACTCTTAGCTTTGCCAATTTTATATTTGACATCATCGTCGTCGTCGTCGTCATCAGCATCTGAATCAAAGTCACCTTCATCATCGTCGTCGTCTTCATCATCGTCGTCATCATCATCATCATCGTTATCATCATCATCTTCTTCTTCTCCTTCGTAGTCGCCATGGTGCCTGGATCGCTTTCCGCTCGTCTTGTTCTTTGATGATCCTTCTGCCTTCATAATCGCCCTGCCATTTTGCAATTAGGTGAATAACAATATTAATAATAATAATAATAATAATAATAATATTAATTACTTCTACTATTACTACTACTGCTAAATAGTAATATTGGCGAAGATAACGATGATGACCAAAATGACAGAGTATGAAAACGAAACGCAGAAGCAAAAGTTTAAAAAAAAAGTTGCTTGGATTACCTTTCAAATTTAACGAATTCTCTCAAGTCATCTAGCTCATTGGCATTCAGATCATTACAGTACTCATCCCCACCATCATCGTCGTCATCATCATCATCGTCATTATCATCGCCGCCATCGTCATCATCTTCGTAGTTGTTATCAACATATTCATCTTCGTAGTTATTATCAGCGTATTCATCTTCGTAATGAAACTCCCTCCAAAACCTTCTAGAATTCTGTGATTTGGAAACGTTTGATTGACGTTTTGTTGAACCTCCCTTGCTAGTTTTGGCTCCGCCTACTTTACTGGTGGCATTGTTGTTGGTGGTGGATGAAAGGGCCGCTTGACTTTCATTGTTTCTACCTCTGTTGAACAATCTTTTGCTCAACGTTTGCTGAATTTTCGAGACTGCTGCCCTCATGGCTGTGGCTGAAGTCGAAGAAGCTGATGCAGCAGCAGCTGCTGTTGTAGTAGTAGTTGTTGTAGCAGCTGTTGTAACTCTGGTTGTGGTGGTGGAAGTTGTCGTCGAGATAGAGGTTGTTGTTGTTGTTGTTGTTCTCGATTCAGAACTTGGATTTGGATGGGAATTTGAGAAAAGTCCTGAAAAAAAAATTATGCAAAAAATGTACTAGGTGCTCATTTCAAAAGTTGAAAATTTAGTTATTTCAGCTGAATGTTCAGCTCAAATTACTGAAACCAGCTAATAAATTCAAACAGAAAGCATTCATAAGATGAAAAATTTCTCACTGAACATCTCACGATCAGGTAATCTGGTGATTGTGGTACTGGTATGATCACTCCCAACAATTCCCCTCAAATAAGATCCCACCCCTCTCCCTCGACTTTCTCCACTGTTGTTACCTTGTTGGGTTGACTCACCTTCTTGGAGGTCACTGTTAACGAGCCAATCATCTTCATCATCGTCGTGGTCAGCAAACATGGCTATGAAGTCGTTTAAGAAGCTGGATCTTTGTTCACCACCTATCCAACCGCTGACATTTGCAGATGGGTTTCGATTTTCAAGGTAGTCGTGAAGAATTCGTGGTATGTACGAGCCTAACGTGTGAGATGATGAAGAAGAAGAAGAGGCTGTCGTTGTTGATGTCGTGGTTGTCGTCACCGCTGCTGCGGTTGTCGTCGTCGTTGTTGTTGTTGAAGACCTCGTTGACAATGAAGTTGCCGATGTTGTAGTTGTTGTGATTGTCGTCCTGGACGTCGTGTTGCCACTGGAATGGTTATTGTTGCTCCAGCGTTTCATGGCATTATGTCTTCGCAGTCGAGGCCTATTCTCATCGTTAACATCAGCAGAAGCTGTTGTACCACCAGGGTTATCATGATCACAACCTTCATTGACGCCCACCTCGCCGAACCACATTCTTCTACTTGACTGCCCTGGTTCCTGGCCAGTTAGGTAGTCGTGTATTAAGTTAGCAATGGAGTTCTCTAAGTAGGGTGGAGTGTTATTATTAGCTCTAGCAGCTCTTGTGTTACTATTGTTCAGTGATGATGTCGCATTCTGCTTAGACACCTTTGTTGCACTGCCAGAGTTAGAGCTTGATTTTTTTGATTTCAACTTGATTCTAATTCGGCGTTTAAGCTCCCCATCGTCGTCATCATCGTCGTCGTCATCGTCGTCGTCATCTCCACCATGCCGATAACAATCGAAGTTATAACCATCGTCATCATCGTCGTCGTCATCATCGTCGTCATCCTCTTCGTGATTACCCAAGTAGATGTTGTGGACCTTGTCAAAGTGCTCCTGAAACTCGTGATATTTAAACATGACGTTACTGCTGCTGCCGCTGCTATTTCTGGTCGATGGTTTCATTTCTTCCTCAGCTATGCAGAGTGGGCAGAGCTGTTTGTGTGTGGTTGTGATGCTTTTTATTGATTCAATTCTGAAGGTAAATTATCACAAATTAGTTAAAATTAACTTGGTTAAGTTATAATTGTTAATAAAATGAAATATTTGAAAGGATTGGCAAGTTTTGAAGTAGCTATTAAATAGTGATTTAGTGTGGTTGTGAAGTTTGGAGGTAAGAACTTTGTAAATTTTTGAATAAATTTTTTCATTCAAAAATATTTAAAGATAAAAAGAGAGAGAGAGAGAGAGAGAGAGAGAGAGAGAGAGAGAGAGAGAGAGAGAGAGAGAGAGGGAGAGAGAGAGAGAAAGAGAAAGAGCAAGAAAAAAAGAGTGGAGGACCGACTAACCACTGAAATTTTCTCTTTAGAATGATGGAAAACGATATGCCTGACCATGTCCAACTTGTCCTTACGCATCTTGCCACAAAATGGACAAGTCAGTGGAGGTCCAGGCCACAGTACGCATGGTCCATAAAATAACGCTAGCAATTATTTCAATAATTTTTACCAGGTTAATGGTAGTTTAATAATAGTTCATAATTACTTATTTAAAAAAAATATATATATATAATTAACCCACAATACAATATATGATAATAAGTAAAATATATACATGCAATGAAAACCAAGCTTATAATATAGTACAAACATCAAACATAAAAATGCAACTATATATTGCAAAATTTATGTAAATTATGTAATGTACAATGTGCACATATACTCAAACTTTTAACCATTTCAATGACATATATATATATATATATATATTTACAATAAATATATATGATAATAAGTATATATGATAATAAGTATATATATATATATATATATATATACGTAAAAATGAATATTCATAGAAATTAAATTATATATTAATGTATACATTCATTATGCCTATCACACAGATCATCCAAACATAACTTCACAAACATTAATCAATGAGGTTTCAGGATATAAATTACACACACACACGCACACACACACACACACACACACACACACACACACACACACACACACTAACAAAAGAACATTCAAACATCTGATAACAAAAACAATTTTATTAATCAAATGAGACAGTATAAAATTCCCAGACTGACTCAATTGTTCTTTGGTCATTGCCAATTGAAGAGGATGACCGACTTGATGTTGACCATGGTTGCTGGGTTTCTTCTCCTCAAAACAAGTCATGCACACATCAATCCCACACTGAAGACACTTCCTTTTAATGCCAGGAAAACTGACCGTCTGACACAGTTCACAATGGTAAACTATTGATTTGGGATATCATATAAGATATATTTCATTTTTTTAAAGTGAAATTTTTGTGATTAGTTTATTAAAATTAGATTATTACTTCACTAATGCTAACTAAATACATAGGTTTTCTTAAAAATGATTTTTTAATGGGAAAAAAATTGGCAATGGCTGGTATATTTATTATTTTTAGTTTAGGAAAAGTAGCAAAAACTAAACTTTTGGCATTGTCATTGCTTAAACTTCACATAGGACTTAAAAGTTTTATTTTTATCTAGTTTGTGTTAATTGTTAATTTAAAATAACTTTTCCATGAAAATGAAAACCCAGTTTTCTGAATCATTGTAATTTAAAAAATCACATATTACTAATTTTATTTTATATTCCACTTAATTTTTTTGGCAATTAAACGTGAAAAGTGTGACGAACTGTGATAATTGTTGTTAGGAAAGAGTGAACTGGAAACACTAATTAATTAATTTAATTAACAACACCAGCTGAAAAAAATTACAAAACTTTCAGCTAAAAAAATGTTAATTAATTAGTAAACAGAAACTGCCTGGAAGTCACCGAAAAGTAACAGATATACAAACTTCTACGTCTTTCCATTTTAGGGAGAGCGAAAAATTGAACTAAATTCCAATTTTTTTTATCTTAAATTTGTGGATTTTAACTTTCAGAAATACAATTGTAAGCACACCAGCACCTAATTCCTAAACGAAACTTGCATGACTAACAGCCACAGCAAGGTCAATTATATTTTTCACAAGTTTTAATGACATTTGTAGGTTCATTTAATGATAATTCATTCCTAATTCAACTATTTTTCCGATTAATCTATCAAAATACACCAATGAAACAGACGTATATACATGTACTTATATACCTTAACATACGCCCACACATTTACTCCAACCAGTTACACGTCAAACGCAACGCGGAAATTAAGCAAATTTAAGTAATTTTATAAAGAACATTTATTGGCCGACGATGAACGAAAAAGAATAAAGAAAAAATGATCAAAACGAACAAAAATGTGAATCATGTAATAAGAAATTTGCTTGACCACGACGAACGAGACGTCATAGTTATTGATTTATAAATACAGTCCTTCAGGCGAGCCTTCATTCTTCCTATAGAGTACATTCTCCTTTGCCTTCTTGAAGTCTTCATTCGTCACTTTCATTCTACGTTCTCGTAGAGCCAGCAGTCCCGCCTCTGTACAAATAGCCTAAATTTTTTGCAAAAAATAAAGTTGATAACTACTTTGACGACACAATATTATAAAAAGTATTAGAAGTTTCACTCTTAAAATTGAGTAAGGAATGACTGAAAAAGAATCAATAACACAAGATTGAGCAAACAAAATCTCATCCTTACCATTTTTAAAAATAACAAACCACGGACTGATCACTACAACGCATCGGCGTCAACAGCACAACACCATCAAATCAACACATCCCTACTTTGATATCTGCCCCAGAAAGATCATCCTTAGCCATGATATAATCCTCTAGATTGACATCCTCGGCGAGTGTCATGCGGCCGGTATGGATGGTGAAAATTCGACGCTTAGTTTTCTCATCTGGAAGTGGAAACTCGATCTTCCTATCAATACGACCTGGCCTGATTAGAGCTGGGTCGAGAGTCTCAATCCGATTGGTTGCCATGATGACCTAGAAATCATTTTTTAGAAAGAGATATTATTTTAATATTTATAAAATGTAAACGTGAAAAGTAGACAGCAATACTGAATTAAACAAAGTTTAAAAAAATCTCTCTCTCTCTCTCTTACTTTGACATCCCCTTTGGAGTCAAAACCATCCAACTGATTCAACAACTCCAGCATGGTTCTTTGAATTTCTCTCTCACCTCCAGAGTTACTTTCATACCTGTGATGCAATTTGTGAAGATGATATTGGTCAAATAATGACGATAGCCACGTTATCATTTAGTGAAGATGATATGAAATGAAAAACATGATCCATGGCAGGTACAAAACTCCACCTAACCTTTTAGTACCGACAGCGTCAATCTCATCAATGAAAACAATGGATGGTGCATGTTCCTCTGCTACCCTGAACAACTCTCTCACTAATTTGGGGCCATCACCAAGGTACTTCTGGATCAGCTCAGACCCCACTACTCTGAATCAGAAAAAACAACATGTCAGCTTTTTTGTGTGTTTTCATCTTATTTATTGAAGCAATTGAAAAAAAGCATGGGATCAAAATAATTCTAATCAAAAGCATCACCTACATCTATATATAAGATGTAAAGATTAATTAATTAATGAAGACTAATAAAAAATGTTTAATCCCCTATAAATATAAATGGCTCAACCCAACCTTAAGAATGTAGCAGATGTCTGGTTAGCTACAGCTTTGGCCAAAAGAGTTTTCCCGGTGCCAGGAGCTCCATAAAGGATGACACCTTTTGGTGGTTTGATACCCATCTCCTCGTAATATTCGGGGTGGGTTAGAGGAAGTTCTACTGACTCCTAGTGACCATTCAACATAAAAAATTTAAATTAAATATGACAGAAAAAAGATAAATTGAGAATATTTTACAGAAAGCAAATGTTGAACAAACTTTTGAGCAAAAAAATTAAAGAGTATTTTAATTTATTAGATAGAAACACTTCCCCCTAACCTTAATTTCTTGAATCTGCTGATCGAGGCCCCCAATATCAGCATAGGTCTCCTGCGGTGCCTTCTCCAACTTCATAACCGTCACCATGGGGTCTGTATCATCTGATAGGACCCCAACCACAGCATGCACCTGAAATGTTCCAAAAAAAATTTATAACAAGTAATTCACACAGATAATTTACCAAATACAATAGAAGATTGGTAAAATCAATTTAGTACATCTTTGATTAGCAACTATCAATTGAACAGAGGCTGTAGCAAAAAACCAGCCAACCTTGTGATTTAGTAAAACAGAGCAGCCAGGCTCCAGTTGGTCCTTATCAACGAATGAAAGTATGCTGACATAATGTTCTGACCCAACAGATGTAGAAACAATAGCATGGTTGTCGTCGATAATTTCTTCCAGAGACCCCACAGACATCGGTGTACCTCTAAGATCATCGACCTTTGATCTTTCCTCTTCTTGCTTCTCCTCTTGCGGCTTTAATCTTTCCTGATTCTTAATAAATTCCTCTTCCATGAGTAGATAATCTTTTATTCTCTCCAATTTCAAAAGCTTGAGGTGACATCTGGTATGTGGTGTAACTGAAACCAATGAAAAATTTTAATGCATTAATTAACAAAGGCTCTACAATTTGACAATTGTCTTGAAATATTAAGAAATGACTAAAAAAATAGACAGACCTTGTGGAAGTTTGTTGGCAGCTTCAGGTCCCTTGATTCTCTTCTTCTTCTTTCCAACTCTGGTGGGTACTGGAGGTTCATATTTCTTCTTTTTGTCCTTAATCAATTTCAATTAGACTTTAGAAGAGGCATGTCATGGGTACCAGGCTCAAAAATGTACATCATTAAATATGGAACAAAAAATTAACAAATAGTGAAATTATAAATAATTCTTTTGATATTAAAGTTTTTAAATATTACTTTTTTATTGTTAAAAATTAAAATTTAATTAAATAAAATTAATAAAAAATAAAAAGTAGAAAGAAACTGTTAATGTCAAAACACCTTGTCATCTTTTTTATCCCCATGATGCCCACCACCTGCGTGCTGATTGCCCTGTTTGAAAAAAGTTTGCCATTGTTACGTCAGTACATAAATTTAAAATTTGTGAAATTAGCAGCAAGCTGAACATCTGAGATCTGAGTGATTCAGCAAAAGTGACCAGACAACAATGTAATGAAAATACGCTTCAAGAGTATTTTATAAAATAAGATCGTTAATAATAAATATTTTTAATAAAATTTACAAATAAAAATAAAAAATATATCATTAAAAATGCAGAGATTATCGTAAGAAAAGTGCTAACCATTTTCTTAAATTAATTTACCGGAACAAACGAAAAGTAGATTTTGAAAATATGACAACAAACTAAAAGTAAACGGAAGTAATAAAACTTTGAATGTCCACCGTTGATTGTGACCACTAAGTAATGTTTCGTAAAAAGTCTTTTCTGTTTTACCTCGCGATTGTCACTTGAGAAAACCCGTTTTAAATGAATGATGAAAAGCAGATTAGTGATTTTATTCTGTGTGATTGTAATCCAGATTGCGAATTTAATATTTCTGGTTAGTTTTCTTCCCATCAAAAAGTCTTCTTCTGGATTTTCTGAAAAGAGGAGGGATGCTGCCTTTACATTGGATCAGAGTTGTGGCCAATATGTTAATCAAACTGAAAATTACAGTAACTCAACGGCCAGGTTACTTAATTGATAGTGGTTATGTTATAGTATAACAGTTATACATTATATTAAATTTTAAGAATAAGATTGTAATTAAACTGGACGTTTTTTATTATTGTGCAAAAATTAAAATATTTTTCAGACTGATGCAGTTATAAATTTAATTGTCAGGAATCACGAAGAACAAGAAGGTTGCTACATCAAACCACACTTTGATCGTTTGGTCTTCATCGTATTAGATGGCCTTAGAGCTGATGTCATATTGAACTTGTTAGAAACCAACATTCAAAAGTCTAACTTTCATAAAAATGATGCTAATAATTTAGGGTATTTGAAAGAATTTTTAAATGCAAAAAACACTTTTGTGTTCCAGTCAGTTGCTAGGCCTCCAACTGTCACACTTCCCGGGGTCAAGGTCATTAATATTTATTAATCAGCTAAGATGGACAAATTTTTGTTATTAAATTTTTTTCCAGGCTCTAATGACAGGCACAGTTAGTTCCTATTCTGATGTCATTTGGAATTTTGCATCGGGTAAATTGGAAGAAGACAACCTAATCAGCCAGTTGAAGCTATTGGGGAGAAGAAATTTCTTTTATGGGGATGATACATGGTTGAAGTTGTTTGCAGAAGATGTGTTTATTTCGTCTGATGGTGTCACTTCATTTTTTGTTACTGATTTTACTGAGGTTGTCTTAGCTCAAAGATCATTTTTTAAACTTTTACTCACTCCATTTTGAAATTTTATTTGTTATAATTCTTTCCCTTTATAGCTTTATTGTTATTACCACTTCTGATTGGTTCACTCACGGTCATCATCATTATACATTATCAACTTTATCATCATAACCGTACTACATCATTACTATTACCGATCAGCATATCAGATCTTTATCAGCCATCATCATCATTATTATAAATAGTTGTCATCTTTATCAGTCATCATTATCATCATTATCAGTAATCGTCATCATCATCATTATCAGTAATCGTCGTCATCATCATTATCAGGTCGACAGAAACGTATCTCGTCACCTTGGTAAACTTTTCCATGTTGAAGGTGGTAGAGATTGGAGCTGGGATTGTCTCTTCCTTCATTACTTAGGCCTAGACCATATCGGTAATAATTATATTATTATTTATATATTATAAAATTTCAAATTTAATTATAGTTTAGACATTAGTAATTCGTAATATTTTATTATTATCCGTAATTAAATTGTTCTGCTAGATAATTGTTTTTAATAATTATTGATAATCGGCTAGTTAATGAATTAATTATAGCTGTTTTGTTATATAGATTTATTTATTTTAATAGGCTAGTTAATATTATTGTTCCTCTTTTTGATGGCTATTTTTTATTTAACTTTATTATTACGTCGTATTTTATTTTAATAATAAATTATTTTAATTATTTATTTTGACTTCTTATCTGCAGGGCATCTCTTAGGGCCGCATCACATGCAAGCAAATAAAAAATTGGAAGAAATGCAGGGTGTTATTAAGTTCATTAAAACCAGTTTAGATGCCAAGGTATATTTATTCACTCCCTCACTCACACATTAATTAATTAATTCATTCATTCATTCATTCATTCATTTATTCATTTACTCATCTTTTCATCTATCCGTCAAATAGGACAAATCGGATAATAAGACCAGCCTGCTGATTCTAACAAGTGACCACGGGATGACTAGTTCAGGCAGTCACGGTGGCTCCACCCCTGACGAATTAAATACCCCTCTGGTTTTTCATGCCGGCAGTTTTCTTATGGATAGTTCAAAGGTCAAAGAAGCGGGTGATAATCTTCTTCAGAGGGGTGATTTTGGTTTGGCTGGTTGGTTTTTAACCTGGTTTTATTTTTAGACTTTATCGACAGTTGTTCGAGTTTTGTGATTGGTTATTAGTTTTTTTCATAATTTCTTGCAAAATTATTTTTATTTCTGTTTATAATACTTGCTAATTTATTATTATTATTGTTGTTATCATTAATTATGGAATGTTTCATCTCATCACACCTCTTCTAATTAGGAACAGTCGATCAAGTCAGCGTGGCCCCAACTTTGGCCTTCCTCCTGGGGACATCCGTGCCTAAAAATAGTATGGGCGTCGCCATCTTTCATTTGTTAAAAATATTCTCTGGTAACAATGAAAAAGGTGCCGAATTGGATGAACTGTTGAAAGTCGCCTATATAAATGGAGAACAGTTGTTAAAAGTGATGGAAAAAAATGTCGATGGTTATCAGCATGGTTGGTTTTGTTGTTGCTGTTGCTGCTAATTCCGCAGCTGCTGCTGCTTATGATGAGGATAATGATAATGATGGTGTTGTTGTGTGGGTAGTGTTGTGTGTTGTTGTTATTGTTGGTGTAATGATGATTATTACAATGTTAATGACTAATTTTGTCTGCAGACGTCTATTACAATGCATACCTCGAGGCAGTTGACATGCATAGAACTCTCATTCAACAAAAACAGCAACACCAACAAGAACTACAACATCAGCAACTACAACAAAAACAACATCTACTAGGGATGTATCATCGATCGTTATTAGGAATGAGTGATATTTTAGTTACTAGCATGTCAAATTATGATATCTATGGAATGAACTTCTCAATTGCTCTCATGTTCTTCGTAAGTGGCCGGCGATGATGACTATGATGGTGATAATGAAACTGATGATGATGATATGATGATGATGACGATGATGATAATGATGCTGGTGACGGTCATGGTGATGAATAAAATACTTTTTCACAGATTTCAACAGTTCTAGCTATCCTGCTCTACAAACAGTACAACTACAATGACGACGAAGTTATTTCCGTTTCATTCCATCTTTCCATTTTTCCATTGCTATGGAAATTTTTTGCGCTCATTTCATGCGTCGTCGTTCTACATCTATTTTTATGCACGGTCATTTTTTGCTCACAAAGTTGTCTACTCTGCTCCGATTGGTTGAGGTTTTCAGGGGCCGTGTTTCTATTGGCTGTCACTTTGGGAATGGTTTATTTTGTCTTTGCCGAGTTGCCTAGATCACATTACGACAATTTTCCAATCAAATTTTTACAATGTTTCGTGCAAAAAACTTTTAACCGTCTTCCAGGGATGGCGTTAAAAAAGTCAAATTCTTCAGACCTTCAGTTAATAAACTCGAATATTGAAAATTCAACAAAATTAACATCAAAAATTTGGTTTTTGGTTGTCTTCAGCTGTTGGTTGCAAAACATTCTCCTGCTATCAAGTAGTTTTGTGGAAGAGGAACACAATATCAGTCATTACGTCATCATTACGTCACTAATGGCCTGGGTAGCGCTCTTACTAAGAAGTGGTTACTCCGTCCCTCGCGCCAGATTTAACTCCAGAATAATTTTTTCATTAGATCTGTTGCTACTTCTGCTGGTGACGTGCCGATTTGGAAAGTGTCTGAACAGTACAGGAGATAAATGGAAGGACGCCAGAGATCTCAGCGACTGGCTATCGGAGTCAGGGATTTTTCTTTTTCGTTTCTGTTCGCGTTGTTGGAATTATTACCGATTATATAGCCTAACAGAGTTCTTTGTCGTTATAATATATATAAATATATAGTGAGAACTCTTTTATCGATTGAAAACTTCGAAATAAAGTGAAAATAGTTTGAGATAATGAATTATATAAGAGATATATTATATTCTTACATAATATGACATAATGTTAGGGGCATTAGGGAAATTATTTTACTAACGAAATTTTTTTTCACAATGTGGTGAAAATGAGATTTATCATATGATTATTAGTGTAAGATATCGGTCTAACTAGTTTATTGTTGATGGTATTAAAGTTACTCATAAAACTGTTTCTAAAAAATATTTTGAAATTGTTTTTAATTATAATGTTGAACAAATAATTCGACACAACAGGCCAAATAACAAGAGAATCTACTCTCTCTTCTTCACAATTTCTCTCTCCATAACTACCCTCATCATATTAGTATCTCTCTATCATACTTTCATCTCGAAAAAATGGGTTTTTTCGGTTTTAAAATCGGTTTTCGTCCAAAAGCTTGGAGGGATCGATGAAGATGATAAAAATTACAGTGCTAATAATGATGATGATAACGATGAATATGTTGATGATGATATCGAAGAATGGAGTGAATACCTGAAGGAGAGAGAGAGAGTGAAAAGAAGGAGTAGTACTGGCGGTTGTAGAAAGGGGAAAATTCTTATCTGGGTAAGGCTTGTGGTTCGAAATATTTTCTGCCTCGTCATCCTTGCCATGTTCGTCTCATTTGCATCCGTCGCTACCTTCAGAAGAGGAGATTTCCAGATCAGTTATGATAATAGTAATGATGATGGTGGTGCTGATGATGATCGGGGTGACCGTTATACATATAGCGAGGAGAGGCTAGAGATGATAAAGATGAAATTGTTAGTTTTGGATTTGTCTATTTTGTTATTTATTTATTTTTTATATTTTAATTTTAAAACCGAAAAGATCATCATTTAGTTTTCAAAATTTCTATCTTTCATTCACACAGCCTCTCAGATTCCAGATCGATACTAGCCTCATCTGTCATCATCTCCCTATTGCGCCCACTCATTTCATCGTCATCAATATTTTTAAAAGTTGTTTGGCGGATGTTGAATTGTTTCGCGCCGAATACTACTTCTCTCGTAAACTCGGCAGTGATTCGCGTGTTTTTCGGAGTTATAACATTTGTTAATAGTTTAAAATTTGTTAAGAGTAAGTTTAGTAAAATGAAATTTAGTAAAATGGTGGATAGATTTCAGAATAAGTTGCCGATGCAGTCGTCCGGTGAACAATTTTTGGTGATTAAGATTGCTTTAACTTTAGTGGTCTTGCTGACTTTTAAATCTTTCAATGTTGTATTGCTGGCTCTTTCGTGGTTTGCTGCAATTGTTTTGAGGTATTTGCTTAGGGTCACTTGTGAGGAAGTGCTTTTTTCGTCGTCATCATCTTCGTCGTCATCATCTTTATTGTTTGTTAGTTCAGTCACTATATTCTACTATTGGATGGGTAGAGCCTTTTTCTTTTATCAGGTACTGATGATGGTTGTGATGATGATGGTGGTTGTGATGATGACGGTGGTTGTGATGATGATGGTGGTTTTGATGATGATGGTGATAGTGATGATGATGCTACAGATGCTGACTGCTGTTATATATGTTTTTGAAATTAACAACATTAATTAGTGTCCTACAAGTTTCATTTCTTTTTTACTATAATTATTTTGTCGCAATTATCGTCATCATCACTATCATCATTATCAATATCATCATTATCAGCAACACCATTATCACTATCATCATCACCAGGGCAACTCCAACAACATCACCACCATCGACGTGACGGCTGGGAACGTCGCTCAAGTCGACTACAACCCGCTGATAGCTACAGCTTTAACATTCATCAACACGTATTACTTCAAGCTGTTCTGGCTGCTATCAGCTCTAGAAGTTATATCTACATTAGAATCAAACCGTAAGATGATTGAGAGGAAAAGGTTTATAGCTGTGGTGACTCTTTTAGTCTTTGGAGCTCTGGCGAATGTATCTTATTTGATTGTGGTTTTTCTTATGAGAGAACATTTATTCGTCTGGAGTGTGTTCGCGCCGAAATTGTTGTACGTGGCGATGGAAGGGTTTGTTTTGGGGATTGTGGCTGCCCTTGGATTGGGGTTTTGATGGTGACGATGATGGTGGTTGGTAGTTCTGGTGGTGATATCAGTGATGTTCATGGTGATGAAGTTTGAGGGAGGTGCTCAAAAGGAGATATCGAAACTATTCTATTCTATTTATTTTTCCAAATATTTTTAATTACATCCTCTTAATTTAATTTTTTTAATCAGCCTGTCTTTCAGCGTACATTTTCATTCGTATATTCACCAATTTATTTAATTTTAGTTATCAGAATATATTTTTAGTTTATATCGGTCGGTGTATGACGCAATAGAAATAAAAATCATGTCAAAAAAGTCATATATATATATATATATATACATACACAAATAGTTACACGCCACACTCAAACTCCACTTATAAACACAAATCTAAATCCTATGAACTATAACATTACAATCGTATCTTCTTCTTTTTCGTGCCTTATCCTTTCAGGACATTGGCGACCATCGACCTCCACAAAACCCGATCTTTAATACTTCGTAGTAGTTGAAATGTAGTGATGTTCAACAAGTGACCCAAGGACTCAACGAATGTTCTTCGTTGTTGACCGCGATCTCATCTCCCTGCAATCTTTCCAGTAGTTATTGGATTTTCCGTTCTTTCCTTCCGCATGATGTGACCAAAAAACTTTAACTGCCCCCGTCAGGTTATCTTTCGTAATTTCTTTTTTTTATAACCATACTGTTTTAATACATCCTCATTCAAAGTATGAGAGGTCCATATTTGGATACCATATTATATATATATATTTTTATTTTTTAGTAAAAGACCATAATTTTTCTATAGAATATTGTAAATATATATTTATATATACATGTACAAAAGTACTTTTGGACAACCCTGTATCGTAATCACGTTTGATATTCCGTTCTATTATTAAGAAATTAACTTAGGTTCATTTTTTGATATATACTTGAAACTAAATGGGACGAAAATGTATTTGCCCTTTAAAAATGGTAAAAATGACGCGTAAACCTGCTAAATATATATATATATATATTGTTGTAACCCTTGACTCTCATAACTACCAACACCGATGTTATAACTTCACTGATTTCTATATTTCCAACAGCAGTGTTGTATCTTCCAAAGATCGTCAAGTGTTCGCCATTCCGTGGGTTCAAGATTTCCGATAGATGAACAAAACTACTTCAAACGCAAACTTTTTTGAACGTTTATTTGAATACCAACAGTGATAGAAACAATAAACTAATCCAAGTAACTACATAAATCACATTTACTACTTTGTATCGAACCTGACATTAATTAAACCTTGACTATTCACTCGCTTATATACAAGATATTCTCACAGTCCAAAGATTACAATTATAGCAAGGATAACAGATAATTACAATAATAATGCAGCGCAATTTGATCAATCCCGCGGTTATAACAATATTTAGACAAAAACTTGGTTGTGTCAAAAAGGTTAACAATACGCCGACATAAACGTAGAATTATAAGTAGAAAGAAAGCATGGTAGGTAATGAAAGGTAATATAAAACGAACCAGACCGCTATTGAAATATGTCTTCAATACGTACGTACGTACAAACGCCATGAAGAATGAGGGGAAGAATACTCTCTGTGTGAATGATTGTATTTGTATATTTGGGTCTGTACGTTTTGCTGGTTTTGTTTGTATGTTGGTTGTCTGTATGTTGGCTGTTTGTATGTTGGTTGTCTGTATGTTGGCTGTTTGTATGTTGGTTGTTTGTATGTTTTGATATTTCGTCTCGTATGTATGTTTTAGTATTTGTGAGATGGGTTTTGTAAGTGGTGTATATATAAAAATATATATTATATATATAAATATATGTAATTAGGTTAACATTCTTAATGCCCTAGAATTTTACTATTTATGAGCCCATGGGTAAAAACAATAGCCACTAAAATCTATCATTTTTTCCCCCTCTTGCACTATCCAATGTTGGTTTCTTGTATGTATTTTTATTTGTGCTTACCTGAGGATGAACGTATTTGTTACATACCTAGGGTACACATGTGCACGTATGTACTTACGTATGTATGTATGTGTGTGTGTGTTTGTGTGTATGTATTGTTTTAGTGACATCGGTTGAAAGTGACTTCGTATTCCCAACGACCCATATTTTTTTCCACCCAATGTATTTTCCGTACGCACGCTAATGTGTATTTGTGTCTGTACATAAATGTGTGTGTTTGTATGTATGTATGTATGTATGTCTGTATGTATGTATGTATGTATGTATGTATGTATGTATGTATGTATGTATGTATATATGTATGTATGTATTATGTATTCGTGTATAATTATGTGTGTATGTATGGGTGTGTATGTTTGTTGGGGTGTGTAGAGAAAATTTATGTGTGCGATTATATATGAGGTACAGATGTTCTAAACTGAATGTAATTGTTAACGTACACGTAGAGGCATCTATCTTCGCCACTGCTTCTACTGCTGCTGCTCGTGTCGTTGCTGCTGCTGCTGCTGAGGATGATGATGCTGATGATGATGACGACGACGATGATGATAATGAAAATAGCAATAATGGCGGGATGATGATGTTGGAGGTGATGTTGATGATGACATTTTGTAAGCTGATAAATATAATTC